GCGTCGACGGCTGCAACGCCCCCCACCACGCTCTCCTTCACACCCGCAAGGCCCGCACGCATGCAGCGTCGGTTAAACCGGACGAAACCGTGCTCGTCGCGTCGAGTGTTAGCAGTAGTGCTTCCGTACTGTTGAAAGTGTGCCCCATAACCGTGCGCGGACCGCGCGGCAAGGAAGTTAACACGTATGCGCTACTTGACGAAGGCTCTACCATATCGTTAATCGACGACGACTTAGCTCGCAAGTTAGGAGCGGAAGGACCGGTAAAGCCGCTCAATATTAGAGGCGTAGGTAATAGTCAACGCGAGGCCAATAGTAGGTTAGTTAATATAGGGATACGTGGCAAGACGCGCAGTGAGATGTATAGCATAAACGCGCGAACGATAACCGATTTAAAGATAGACTCGCAGTCTGTAAGTAGGGAGTGCTTACGGTTAAAGCACTTACGTGACTTACCGAGTTCGGTGTGTTACAACGACGCGAAGCCGAGATTGTTTCATATCCTCCGATTACGACCTACAGTACGAGAAGCGGAGCTGAGATGCCTACGGTGCAGAGTACGGAAGGCACGACACCACGGCCTGCGGTTACGGGGGATTTACCACCCGAACGGTTAGGGGCGTTTGCGCGACCATTCACGTACACCGGAATTGATTACTTCGGGCCTCTGACAGTTACGATAGGACGACGGCACGAAAAACGGTGGGTGGCACTATTCACGTGCCTAACAACGCGCGCAGTGCATTTAGAAATAGTCTACTCTCTGACCGCGGACTCGGCGATATCGGCATTACGGCGCATGGCGGCTAGGCGTGGGTGACCACGGGTTGTTTACTCTGACAATGGTACAAACTTTCATGGGGCGAATACAGAACTGCAACGGGCGATGGAAGAGTGGGCACCGCAGTTGAAGGATTACGCGCTGACTCGGCGAGTCGATTGGAAATTCATCGCACCGGGTGCGCCTAACCAGGGAGGCGCATGAGAGCGTCTCGTGCGCTCAGTGAAGACCGCACTCGAAGCCACTCTACATCAGAAAAGCCCACGAGAAGAGACGTTGGCAACGCTCCTGACAGAAGCCGAAAATACAGTGAATTCTCGACCGTTGACGCACGTACCGGTCGACATCAACGACGAAGAGTCGCTGACACCCAACCACTTCCTACTGTTTGGACCATCGGGCCTACCAGTCACCGCGCCGTGCACACCCATGGATCGACGGGCGTGGAGAGCGGTGCAGGGGCTCGCCGACGAGTACTGGAGGCGCTGGGTGAAGGAATACATGCCGACGCTGGTTGCGCGCGGGGACTCCCGAGATGCTCAGCAGCGCCAAATTCAGGAAGAGGACCTCGTCGTGGTTGCGGATAGCAACCTACCAAGAAATGTATAGCCGCGGGGCATCGTGACGAAGACGTTTCCTGGACCAGACGGCGTGGTGCGCAACATCGAGGTCAGGACCAAGGGAGGAGTGCTGCGGCAGCCCGTCAGGAAGATTGCCGTCCTCCCGAAAGAAGCTTAGGCTCGCAGGCTACGCCGGGGGGAGGATGTAGCGGACAGCGAGGAAGGCCGCCGCCCCGTTGCCTCTTCACACCCCGGTGCGGCCCGCGCACCCCGCACACCGGCAGCAGATCACGCGATGTCGCCGACCAATCAGCGCGCGGCATCGCCTTACGACGCTACTCACGAACCGAGACGCTCTCTTGCGGGATATAAGAAGGGCGTTTCGGTCTGTGAGCTGTTCATTTCACTTCGGAAGCGGCACTAGAAGAAGCAGCAAGAGAAATCAAGAAGAACCAAGACTCCAGAGAAATCCAGAAGACTCCCCTCTGTACATAAGATAGTTTATGTACAGAGGGGATTTTGTAAATAGTTGAATACAGTATAGTTTATTAGTACCATCTTTTCTTTAAGCAGTTCCCTAGCGTAGTCAGTTAATACAGTCCACTTGCAAAGTAAATTAATACAGTCCACTTCGATCCCTAACAATTGCTATGGGCCAATGTTCTTAATTTCTAAGTCCTTGATGCCTGAAATAAAGTTATTGTATTGTATTAACTGTAATCTATTTCGTCATTGATTATGCGTTACGCATAATACTTAGTAGTGAAAAGCTTTGCTTTATAATGCCCTGCAGTGGGCGACAAGGAGCTGATGATGAAGTAGTTTTGCACCTTTAAAGTATTTAATTTAGTTTAAATATGGCCCCAATTTTATTTTTACCCCGGGGCCCTTGGTTACATAGCTACGCCACTGCCCCAGTCCGAGACTTTGTTCAACAAAGTCTCGAATTCAGACACAAGTTTGTTCCGGTACTCGGCGTCGTTTTCGCGAGATATATTGGCACGGCCGGTGTATAAACATCACCAGTGCTGTCGTCTGCATAGCAATGTACAATGTACAACAGCGTTGGTGATAGCACGCAGCCTTGTGGAACACCAGCGTTAATGGGTTTGTAATCGGAGCATGCACCGCCTACTACGACCTTGATGCTCCGATGTGCAAGAAAACGGGTGATCAAATTGCACAATTTCTCGGGAAGCCCACATAGGAAGGCAGCTTCGCAAGAAGCACTTTGTGCCAAACACGATCGAAGGCCTTCGCTATGTCCAAGCTAACGGCCAACGCCTCCCCCTTGGACTCCACTGCCTCCGCCCATCTATGAGTTAGGTAATCTAGAAGATCACCAGCTGAGTTACCTCGACGGAAACCGTACTTGCAGTAACTAATCAGCTGGTGATCCTCAATGTACCATATGAGCTAGCAGTTAATAATAGTTTCCATTACTTTGGAGAACAAGGAGGTGATAGTGAAAGGCCTGTAGTTGGACGGATCTGAGCGGTCGCCGTTTTTAGGGATCGGGTGCACCAAGCTCTTCCATAAGTTCGGGACTACGCCTAGGGAGTAGGAGTACCGGAGAAAAGATACGTTACAACCAGTGCCAACTCCGGAACACACATCTTCAGCACAATAGGTGGGACTCCATCAGGCCCACTCGACTTGTTGACGTCCAGGGAGAGGAATGCTTTGCGCACCGAGCGCTGTGTAAGCAGCCCTTTCTGCTCCATGCACACACACCGCGCGATGGTCGGCGGTGTCACGGTGCGTTCCCCCCGTCATCGAGAGTCGAGTATGAATCAAAGAGAGAGCCTAGCAGGTCGGCTTTCTCCTTTGCGGCATGGGCCAGTGAGTTGTCCACCCTCCGCAAAAATGGCAGCGATGGCTGACAGAAGTTCCCTTGACAGCCTTGGCGAGAAACCAGAATGCACATGTTCCCGCAGGGAGGCGAACTAGTTTTTCAACAATTCTGCCGATGTGCTCTCTCTTTGCCTTGGCAATTACACTTTTGAAGGACCTGGAGGCGAAATTATACTTCTTTTTAAGAGCGCTGGTGTTTACATCCCGGGATATTGATGCGCAACTGCGATGGGAGCGTAAGTGGCACCATACTCTGGATCAGACAATGGTCCGAAGAGCCACGAGGGGCATCGACGGAGACCTGATATCCGTCTGGATGAGAGGTCAGCAGAAGGTCCAACAGGGAAGGTACATGATCCTCCACATCTGGGATCCGCGTAGGCGAAGTAACCAGTTGTGTCAGACCAAATGTCAAGGCAAGTCATAAACTGATCTACCCGCATGATCGGTTAAACAAGAACTAAGCCATTCAGCGTGGTGGGCGTTAAAATAACCGAGCATCACGATCTCTGCGGATGGGAACTGTTGTAGCACGGAGTCAGCAGACATTTGGTAGATGAGTCGGTGTGTCGGAACTGCCGCTATGGGACCTATAGAGGCACTCGTAGACGCGGGAATGGTCGTCGCTGTCTACGCGCAGCCATATGATGGACAGGTCCGTACCTTCAAAACTGCCTAGGCGTCGAAAACAGATGTCCTCTCCGACGTACATGCAAACACCAGCCCCGGGCACAAAGAATTGTTCTAATTTGTACCCCGAGTAGGAGAGATACGAAGTACTCGTATAAGCCGGAGAGGACACCTGTGTCTCAGTTAGAAAGAGCAAGGCCGGTTTTGTCTTGAGCGGAATCCCCCCCCCCCCCCACTGAATACGCGGGGCAGCCTCGCGCCAGCTGCACTCACCAGGCGAAATGCAGCAGTAAACTTCTAATTCACGCTTGGTATTCTGTGAAATTAAAGAGCAAACTACCTACGGATGGTTTTTTGTATATACTCTAGACACTGAAAAACTTTATTTAAAACACATGACATTGTGGAACAAATAACTTCACCTCACCACAGTCCCAACTAGCGACATTTGGTGAGCTTTCGCATTATTAGCCCTCCCTGACGAAGATATCACGTAATTTACATACAAAAAAAAAAGAGAAAAATAAAACATATAGTTGAATTTCGATCTTCCTCCTTTTTTGAAGTCTGCCAAAAATATGTTCCACAGTGCATTTAAGTTTCTTTTCGTTTTAAAAATAATAGCATAACATTACTGATAAACATTAATTATATCAAATTACTTTTGAGTTATCAATTAGTACCCTTAGTCATAAGGTTACCATTTCTTTGAGATGCTTATTTACAATATAATAACTTTGACAACTGCAAACTACTACTATAAAACAAGTAGACATGACAAAAATGCTTAATAAATAAACGATCCATTTTCTCTTTGAAAATGGTAATTGTTTATTTACCATGTAATTTTAAAACAGCATTGTTTCTTATTGAATTTGTACAAATAAAACTGCAGTATTGGTATCAAAAATTGGATTTATATTTCCATTTCGCTGAATAGTGAATGTCAGTAACAATTTGCCAGGTTACAGAGATGGCCACACAGCTGGCTTCAAGCATAACATGTACTTTTTATAACATATGATACATTTTTTTTCAGACCTAATATCCTATACTTTATATACTACCTACCTACATAGATATACAGGTAAAGCTAAACTATCTACAATCGTCAATAAGTTATATACAGATAACAATACAGCCAAATTATATATACACCTAAATTTCCAATACACTTATCTGATACCTGCAATACTTTGATTTTTCCTACACTCGGGACAGTACCATTTGCCTTTAGGCGGAACCATGATACCGACACACTCAAAGTGAAACCATTCAATTGGACATCCCTCGGCATCGCATGCTATCATTTCTGACACCTCATCATAAGGGCATCGGCAATAGCAATAAACACTCTCCCCTTCACGCGCCTCACGTACAGCAGGCCTCTGGAACGCGTATGGCAGACTAGATGTACCAGAATTAAGGTAAGTCGGCGGCGGAACCGGTATGGAGTTCTGGACGCTGTTTGGTTGATATATCTCTAAAGCTCCTTCATCACTGGTGTCAGAATCGCTTGACTCCATCGACTCTGAGTTCATTAAGATCCGCGGCGGTTCTGGGTCTGGGATGGGTGCAGTCAACCTAATTGTATCTGTATAATTGAATGTTCTTTGTGGAATAACAGAGGAAGGTAATTCTTTCTTCGCCTTGTGCGTCACAGGAGAAGGTAAATCTTCTTTTCTCCACTCTAGTTTCGGCGGTAGTTGAGGTTTTAAAGCAGCTGTTGTTGGCGACGACTCTTCGTCACTCGAGTAACCATAAAATTTATTTGGAACACGTCTTCGCTTTGAAGCGCGTTTCTTTTCAAGGGGTGCCGCTTTGGGTGTGGCTGTGTTACTATGGATCGCAGGCGATGTCTTCGCCACTTCCGGAATTTGAACTTTGTTGGACTGTAATGATATTGTAATTTTATTCGGCAGTAGCGGCGGCGAAGCTTCTACTTCTGACTTAGTGATTATATCTTTGGGAATGTTAATTTTGATGGGCGCATGTTTCTTAGAACTCTTTGATCTCTTTTTCTTTTTACTTCGCTTTTTACTACTACTAGTTTTCTCTTTAGTATCGTTTCCATGTTGTTCATTAACTGCACTCACTTCTTCTTTCGGTTTGATTTCCTCCTTAATTGGTGTGGTGGCACGACTAACATCTCCTGACATAGAGCCACCATCAGATGGCGCTACTGAAGCTAAAAGCATAAGTTGATTACGCTTTTCAGCATACAATTTATTTGCAATACGTTGTGGATTCTCATCATAGAATTCCTCGTCTGTTTCGCTCTCTTCAGTTTCCAAGTCACTCTCTGCTATAAGAGGTTCGGTTTTTTCAGGTATCAAAACAGGTGTCTCAGTCATGCCCATAACATCCACATTAGAGCCGTTACTGATTCGTCTGTTGGGTAATTTCTTTAATTGTTTATTCTTTTTCTTTTCATTGCCTGACTCGTCTGATGTATCTGAATCTGATGAACTGGATGATGAAGATCCGCTGCTAGAAGAGCAACTGCAGTTAGAGCCACACGAACAACTCGAGTCACTATCACTACTGCTACTACTAGATGACGATAAGTCGCCATGCTTCTTCTTAGGAGATTTTTTATTTTTCTTCTTGTCTGAATCAAAAACGTCTTCGTCGCCATTCATATCCGTCGGTATCAAACAATAATCGTGATCAGACTCACATACATGTTTTCTAATAGGAACTAAAGGAGGTGTCTTTTCTTTTTGTTTCTCAACTTTAGCTTGATATTTTTTGAAATTATCCCATATTTCTAAAACTTGTTTTTCGTCAGGCTTTTCTTCTTCTGGTGGTTCAGATTCTTGTTCAAGTTTAGAGAGTGGTGCAGCATCAGGGATTATAGTGTCCTTTATGTCAGAGATAACAGGTTTTTCCTCTTGCGATTCTTCACCCAATTTATCTGTTGTTCTTTCTTCTTTTATTGATGGTGGAATGCCACTATCAGATTCATCACTACTATCACTTTCGGAAAGATTTAATGCTGGTAAATTTACATCTAACAATAATGCATCTTTGTCTTTTAATTTTTTCTTTTTAGCTTTCTTGGAAACCTGCTCCGGTCCAGCCTCTGTTTTTATGTCAGAAATTCCTGCTTCTTCCTTAGGTATTTCATGAATTAAATCAACAACTGGCATAGGTTCCTTGGTTGCTTCTATAGGATTATCACTTGTCAATTTCTCTTCACTTAAGTTTTCACCTAGTAATTTCTTTTTATGTTCTTCCATATGTTTCGCTAACAATTTTTTAGAAACAAATTTTTCAGTACAGTTTTCTTCATTACATGCATGTGGAAATTCTTCAGAATGAAATCTTTTATGTACTTTGAGGTATACAGCTCTTGTAAATTGTAAGCTACATTCCTCACATACAAATATAGCTGGGGGCGTACAAAAATGATAGACATGCGGCCATTTTTTCTGAAGGCACTTCTTACACAACACACTTTCTGTCCCATGCTTCCAGAACAGGTGATTTGTGATATCAGGTTTATTTCTGTATGCGATACCACATCGGTAGCACAGGTGGTGCAGTTTATGTTTCCAAACATGGTTTGACAAACGAGCTTGACTTTGGCAAAATTCTAAACAAACATCACAAGTGTGGTGGATTTTCCTTAGATGTACCATTAACCTAAAGGATGATGATATAGTATCTACATTACATAAGCAACATCTAAACCTATTTTCATACTCAGAATCATATGTTCCTGGACATAAATGACATAATAACTCACTATAAGTGTAAAAATTAGATTTACACATAATGCAAAGAAGTATAGTTTTCTGGTGCATTTTGCGATTGTGAAAATAGAGATCTTTAAGAACAGCAGTTTTAAAAAAACAATGAAAACATTCAAATATATGATTATACTGCACATTGTCACATTTATCAACACTATCATAGGAGTCAAGGTTTATAAAAACTTCACACACTTCCTCTACCCTTACTTTCACTTTAGCTGCAATTGTTTGAGGCATAAGTTCTTCAGCTGTGATGCTATCTACGGTGGCAGAAAACCGATGCTCTGCTATCATATGTAGTGCGAGTTGCTCACAATTCACAGCAATCTTACGGGCATGGTTGCAATAAATACAATTGATAACTGTTGAAGCTAAAAAGACCTTCAAGAGATCTTTGAGTGGATATTTATCTAATGGTCTATTTAATGTTAACTCTATTACAGGTGAGGTGTCGGTAGGTGAAGACTCTTCTACATTTAAAATATCTTCTTTAGGTTCAGTCTTGGGTTCTATTTCTGGATAAATATTTTCATCTGTGATTTGTACTTTTTCTTCTAATTGTTGTTCTGGTTCTTCTTTTACTTTAGTATCTTCTATGGGCAATTCTGTCTCCATCTTTGCATTTTCTGGAGATTGTTCTTTAACCTTTTCTTGGTGGTCTTCTGCCATATTTTCATCATCTACAGTTAATTTCTCCCCAGCATCACTATCAGAGGAATATTCACTTGATGAATCTTTATCCAAGAACTCCTTAGGGACCCTAACAGTCAGCTTTGGTACCCTGTTCAAAGTATTACTTTCCTCTAATTTATTATCATAAATAGTTGTTTTTATTGTGCTTTCAGTTTTAGGCTCAGTTTCGTTAGATAGTGATGGAGCTGACTCTATACTATTATTCATGAGTGTGGTTTCTTTGTTATTTTCAATTATGGTAGTTTTCACAAAGGGACTGTCAGCTTTATCACAAATTGTCATTTTGATAGATGGTGGTCTTGTGGGGGTCTGTAGCTCATGTGGAGTATCCTTTTCATATCTTTTTGGTGGCCTTCTGACACGTGATGGGGGCTTTTGAACATATAGTTGACCAACAGTAGGATCTACAGTAGAATTAATAATTACAGGAGAATTTGCATTATTTAAACTTAATTTTAATTTGATGCCACCCTCTTTTTCTCTCTCAGGTGCTTGACTTATTCTTTCCTCTACATTAGCAGGGAAATGTGACACTGGTGAATGTATTTCATCAGGAAGTGGTGAATCATTTTCATCTGAATGTTCTTTACTATCATCGCCATTCGGCAAGTATGGCCTATTAGTCTCTAATGTGCCAGTCTGATGTACAGGTGTCCCAGGTTTTATATTTGAACTTTCTTGTACTATCACAGAGTCTATAACATTAGTAGTGACTTTGCTAGTTGTAATCAGACTATCAGAACTAATACTCGTATCACTATTAACAGGTTCGCAGTCACAATTTTCTATCATAGGCTTATGGGTTGCGACTGTCTCAGGTTTTACATCATTGGCTTCAATCTTATCACTAACAGGCCTTAATAACTCTTTACTCGGTAAAGCTGAACAGTTTTTAGAAGTGTCATTGCCATTTTTCACATACTTTACATTATTAGGTTTTTTACTAACAAGCACAGGCACAGGTTTAGGTTTCACATTATTACAATCATGATTAAAGAAGTCATCCTGCTCACTACAAATTTCATCACACGCACAGCACATTAAATACAAAGTCCCATTGTAAACATTGAAAAACTCTTCTTTGCTATTGTAGTTGAATTCCTGTACATTATGTTTGTTTGTTAAGTGAGCTGATAGTTTCTCTGCTTTAGAAAACATCCCCAGACAAAACAAGCAAATGTGTCTATTGTGTACTTCCCTCATATGAAGAAATAGGTTCCAATTTTCATAGTATGTTCCACAAGCTGAGCATAAATAAACCTTTCTTGTAACTCTTGATGGACCACCAGAACTATTATCAGAATTTGGAGCAGATTCTGGACTCAATGCAGGTTCTTTTGCCTGGGCACGACATATCAACTGATGTTCTTTTAACATAGCTAATGTTTTGAATGACATGGAGCAACATTTCCGACACTTGAATTTCACCATAGGCTGTAACCCTAAGCTTTGGGCATATTCCTTCAACTGGGCCCCCTTTTCAGTCTTACCCTTTTTGAACTGCAACAGCTGGCTCTTAGGTACAAGACGTGGCACTGGTTTGTCTTGTTCATTTTCCATTGAGCTGTCTCCTTGTGATGTAACATTGTGAAATGGGTTACGGTCAATGCGTTTAGATAAAAGTTTAGGTGGACGTGGAGCTAAATTTTTCGGTGCACCACTTTCAGTTGGCTTACTCACAAAATGCTTTTTCTTTTTGACTGCACTATTATAAGGAACAGCACTGTCAACAAACGGTCTTTTGCCAAGATGAATTCGTAATGGATTAATGCGTTTTCGGAACTTATCTTCTTGTAAAGCGTCGGCGCTCAATCGTCTTGGATCGTAGAATGATTCTGGGGGACTGGACGGCTCGCCCACAAAATCGTGTCCGTTTGTAGTCAATTTCGCGGGTCGATCGCCGTAAAAGTTCGTAAGTGACGCTGAACCGATTTTATCGTCTCTCGTATTGGTTATATTACCATCTTCCATAGTTTTCTGAAAAAAATTAAAACACGTGCTTACTAAATATGCCTACAAACAAAAGACGTTCAAACAAGAGGAAATCAAACTTCTATTTGAAATATGGTCACAATAATAACAATGAAAACTGAGAACATACCTCTGAAATCGTACATCCAGTACGAGTACAATAATAAAGATTCGTTTCCATGCATCCGTTTGAGTAGAGCACTCCTTACATCAGGCCTAATAAGAGGCAGCCGCAGGCTGGTCATTCCCGTAAAATGGCGTCACTTCGCTGAGCGAGGATTGTGATATCAGAAATGTTGCACTGCGTTTGTATTACGCCTATCACAATGTATACACATTTTTAATGTTTCAAATAATTTATTTAATCACAAACAAATTAAATTAAACTTATTCCGATGTTTATTTCCAAACACATTATCAAAAATCGTAGCGCATAACGAGAAGCTAATTCACGTCCCATAGACTAAACTTTTTTTTCTAACAAGTTTTTTTTTTAATTTTTACAATGGCGAATGCATTCGCACACACGTGGTTGCGTGCATAGACAAGAACCGCTCGGTTTGTAGCGAGCAATTACCGCCCGTTTCATAATTTTTTTCATTTACTTTCTCCGTCCACCTAGCTGTACTATTATTATTATTTTGTGATATTTCTAATATCTGTGATATGGATCTCATTTGTTATTCGAAATAAAGATTTATTATTATTATTATTATTATTATAAACTTATAACAAAGGCCTATTATATTACACGATTTATCGGGCCCTGTCTATCGTGTTATTTTATTTACTTTATCTAAACGTCGAAAAATTGCTTTAGTGATAACTTTGGATGTTGGTACCGTGCAAGGCCAAACTAAAAAAGGAAAGGAAAGGAAAATATGGGTGAAAAAATATTTGCCCCTAAGATTTATAAATTTGTAGAAGTACTTTAAAGCCTTCGCTTCTTATTTCCTTATTGGAATAGTCCTTGTGCTCTTTCCTCCAAAGATAAGGTATATCTCTGTAGATGTCGATGACTTTGAGAAGGACATCACTTTATTTAGCGCACGACATAGTTACGACGATACCGCGAGGTTTGACCGATAGTGCTTACTCTGTGTTAAGGTTCGTGCCAGTGAACTGTAGATTCAAGCCAACTGATCTTTCGCTTTGAGAGGGCGCTTGTATACGTGTGATGCATCTGCGGCGTAGGCTCCGCAAAGCAAATAATGGTGATGCTAATATAGCTGCTCTCAGCAGATATTGATGTAGGTCGTGGTTTGACAATTGATCTGCCAACTATGTGTCAGCATCACTAGACTTTAGCTGCTGAGAGATTTGGTGTCCAATACTTGACAAATGTTTTTGATTCTCCTCATTTTCTGACACGTCGAATTTCTCGAGTCTTTGGAGAAGAATTGATAGGTTGATGACTTTCTAGTATTTTTGAGCGAACTCGTCGTCTAACACACCGAGTAAACTGTGCGCTAGATATCCGACACCGTTGATAAGCCCGCGCCGGCGTCTCGAGCGCGTGTATTGCTGACGTGAGTGCGCTCGTCCCTTTCAGTTTTGATGATGGTGAGGGTGGGGCCACTCGCTATAAAATTTAATTGAGTGAGGAAGTTGATGTCCTCGGTATCTTCGCTCAGGGCACACGGTGGCCTTGAGTTCAGGCACGATTCCAGCTGTGATAACAATGTTGATAGCTCCTCAAATGTAAGCTTTTGTGCTCCGATGACTCTTCGTAAGTGGAATTTTAGGCTCTTCACCGCCGCTTCCCATAGACTGCCATGCCATGAGGAAAGGTCGGATACCATTTCAAGGTGTACGGCCTTAGTGACCACACACACAAAAACTGCGATGTATCTGTTTGCGCTAAATGTTAATTTTTAAAACTGCATTACGAGCGCTCACGTCCGGTGGTAACAGAGGTCGCTGCCGGGCCTCTCTCCCCCGCGCGCGTTCCCCCGCTCACGCCCGGTCACCTGATGTGGCGATTAACGGGATTAGTTTTGCCGAGGCGTCAAGCGCCACGACAGTAGCTCGACGCGCGGGCCATCGTATAGTATTGTTTTGCGACTGCTGGGTTGGTTGCGTGCGGCCGGTGTAGATTTTTTGACGGTCTAGAATTTGAGTAAATTGTGCGCGCCTAATTTACTATTGAAGATTTGGGTCTCGTGTAGACCACCTCGAATTGATTTGTCTGATTTGTACGTTTCGTGACGGGAGGCTTGTATTGGGTTTGAATTATTAACTTAACTTTGATTGACGTTAATTTAATTCGACTAGTTGCTTGTGGCATTTTAATATCGTACTAAAGAATTTGGCTTGTTCGGGAGAACGCTGAACTTTGTGACTCAAGAAGAGACCGCGTTCGTTCCCGTGTTTTTAATTCTGTGCCTAGTGAACCCGGAACATTGAATATTGAGCTGTGATCGACTGTTCTTTACTTGTGTCATGTGTCACTTGTTTTAATTCGATGAACGTTGATTTTGTTGAATTTGAAGTTAATTAAATGTGCAATAAAGTTGATAGGTTGAAATAGTGTACGATAAAGTTGATAAACTGAAATAGTGAAATCGAAGCAGAAGGTTTCAATTGGGGATCGCACATTTGGAGAGAAGCAGCGCCTGGGGATCTGCGGTCCGACTTCAACGGTTAAGTCAGGTTACACATTGTACACACTACTACACACTACTTACATGCACCTCACTTATCACCTGACTGGTACCCTGTGGTCAACCCTACCTCCGAAAATCGGTAAGTTTTGTTGTGCTTGCTTATTTGTCAGCCGTTTTAGAACATTTATCCATAGGCCATTGGGCTCCACCCTTGATTGCTCGTCGAGTGTTTCGCTGATGGGCCCCAGGATAGTCAAGCCTTGTCGGGGCAACTAAGGGCGTGTACAGTATCCTTTTGTCATTTTTATGCCTCGTCCTTTGTTTGCTTTCACGTCGATGAAACTGGTGTAAACCGTGAATATTTTGTAAAGCATTGCAAGTGTGAATTAACGCTTTTTCCTAAAGAATGATTCTATCGTCACATATTTTCCTTATTTATCATGGCACAGATATATGTGTATATATATGTATATAATATAATATATATTTTTAATGTATTTAAGTAGGTTTATGTATGTGTACATCTGTATTAATATATTTACCTTTTATGATATATGTATAGAATATCTTCTATATATACCGGGTGTTAGTGACATTTTTTCAATGCTTAGTGGAAGTTGGTCATCCCACTTCAAATCTTCTTTCCAGATTGATCGGAATAGTAGTTTCAATCTTGTTGTTACAGGACAGAGCCAACCGGCCGGGTCGAAAACCTTTGAGATGTCTGAAAGTAGTGTCATTTTTGAGGCTGGTTTGTCTGTTGATGTGTTGATTTTGAGCTCAAAAGTGAAGACCTCCTTCTGAGAGTTCCAGCGCAGTCCCAGCGTCTTTGTTGAGTCTTTCTGCTTGAAATAAAACCCAATTTGATGTTTGCTATCTGTCTGATCCTGCTGGTTGTAGTAACTAATTGCTGATTGAGCACCACCTTCGTAGATTAAACCTCCCTGCTCTGAGTAGGTTATTCAGATCTACTTTTAATTTTAGAGCAGCTGGGATGCTGTGCTGGTCGCTTAAGACATCGTCCATGAAAAGGCAACTTAGCTGCTTCAAGCAAATGCTGCCCTTCGTCGCGGACTAATTGCTTCAGTGTATTCATTGCCAGGAACGGCGCTGCTTTCGTCCCGTACGTCACAGTTAGTAGTTCGTATTCTTGAAGTGGCTAATTTGATGATTCACGCCATATGATTTTTTGTAGTTATTTGTCGTTATCATTGCAAAGTATCGCTCGAAAATTTTTTTCGATATCTGCAGTGAAAGCGACTTTATATTGATTAGATCCGCTGTTCATCAAGTCGTTTAGGCTGTAGCCTGATGACGCGTTAAATACGACATGTAATGCAGCTGTAAGTGATTCAGCGCGCTGCACACAATGATGTGTCAGGTAGCAACTCGGTCGTGTTATATGTACTATTACGAGTACATTGCTGCATATGTTCTAATTTAATGTGTTCGTGCGTAAAGTTTTTACACATTGCTCCGAGGTCTCCGTTTTTGGCGAATTTTCTTTCTAGCTGATATAGTTGTGCCACGGCCTTCTGCTTCGAATCACCCAGCTTTTCTTCGAAGCCTGGTTTCATGGGCAGACGTACAACTAATCGACCGCCTTCTTGTCATGTTAATCTTCTGATGATATTGTTATTTTGTTGTCTGCTTTGTCTGCGATTGTTCCAAAACCTCTGATTATCTTGTAAATCGTGCAGAACAACATTACGCTGGTAAGAAGATTTCAGGTTGCCGCAGATGATCCAATTGAGTCGTGATTGCTGAACAATCGTTTGATTTTCATCTTCTCTGATAATTCCACTCAAAATGATAATCGAGTAGATGTTCGCACCCGATATTGAAATCTTGATCGGCAAGCTATATGCCTTCAAGATGTTTCATGGCGGTTTGTCAAATGATCTGTTCGGTAGATTGTTTACAAAACTTTTCATGATGATGACGTCAGTCCTGAATGTGTATTCTGAATTCATCGATGATGCTGTGATAACGATGATGCCTTTGCAGTTATTTTCCTTTGTGCCAATCCCGAAAATAACACCCTTGCAACGCTATCGTGGAAGGCCAAATCTTTGAGCGGCGTTTTCGCTGATAAGTGATGTTTGTGATCCTTGATCGACTTCGATTCGATCGCGCTTGCGTCGTCGATAGCTTTCATCAGCTGATAACACCTTGATTTGGGCTGTTACTAGGAGAATTTCGGCGATGTTTTCTTGTGAAACATGTGTCACGTTTCTCTGCTGTTAATATTTGATACGTATGCTTTGTGCAATAATGTATTGTGATTGCTTTTGCACTGAGCGCATCTTTTGTCAGAAAAACAGTCCTTGCCTTTATAATCAAAAAGACAGTTTTCGCATAAATTCAATTTTGCCACTGTTTATCGTTTTAATTCTGATGTATGACCTAGAAACGATTTATAGTAGAAAATTCCATGTTGTTCATTGCACAATGGACACGTGTATTTATTCCTTGCTTCGATTTCAATGACTTCGCATTTGTATAATTGATAAATGCTTTAGTTAATGCACCCGGGTTTGCCTTGGAATATTGAGAATTGAATTTTGGTATCTTGATAGGTGCCTTGCTGATTGCTCCGTGGCGCTTCTTGCTTGCGTCGAGACGATTCTAATGCTGTGAATCGTATTTCCAAAATGATCATAAATCCTGATAGCGTAGGCAATTCCCTCGGATCTTCAAGATATTATAAGTAGTCATTGTGTGTATCAGTGTCCAGTTTCTGCATCAACAAATGTAAAACTAAAGGATCTCAACTTGATATGTTCACGTCTAAGTTTTTCACGGCGCTTAGACACTCTATAATGGTGTCGTGCAATTTTTTCAGGGCCAATGATGATTGGTGTTGTATTGCTGGCAAGCCAAAAAGCGTGTTCATGTGAGAACTAAAAATCAATCGTTTGTTGTTATACGGATGATTCAGAATTTCCCAGCATTTTTCTTAGTTTCGGAACTAATATTTAGGTGTTGTATTAGTTTCTCGGCTTCTCCCTTGACCTTGTTTTTTAAAATGTTGCACTTTTGCACATTTGAAATGAATTTATTCTTGTGGATGATTTCCATGAAGAGATCTTTGAAAGATGAGCACTGCTGATAGTTGCCACTGAACGTTGGGATTTCCATTTTTGGCATAGAATACCCTTTATGAGATACGGACCACATCTTGGTGTTGATTGATTTTTTGATTTTTTTATATATGTCTTCGAACATATAGTATGTTTTTTCGCACTGCAAGTTTTCTGCGGTAAACTCGCTGTCGATCTCTCAGTGTAAGGAGTCCACGGTCCACTGTCGCAGCTGTTGATGGTGGACGCCAATATGAAGTCACGCCGGCTAAAGGAGTAGCAGGTCTCAGAACTGACTTCTTTTCTTGATCAGTAGATAGGTAGTGCTGAATAATTCTCCGACAGTCGGTGTGATATTATTTTGCTTTTTCGAAGTGATTTTCCGAGAAATAAGTGTAGTCTTGGTCCTCTTACTCACACAACTTGATATGACTGGCTTGGAACTCTCTCCAGTCGCCTTAATATGTTAGATGGGATTTTTCTTTCAGCTCCATCTTTCTTGAAGTTGGTGCTGCGCCATTGCTTGGAGAAGATGTTGTTGAGTTGATAGTAAATCTTCCATTTTTTCTGATTAATGGACGATTTGGTTGATAATCCGGAGAGGGATGCTTTCAAGTCACGGAGATAATGCTCTTGCCAAGTACTCCGGTATCATAATGCAATATATGCGCCTTCTTAATCTCGTCGGTGAGACCCGCTTGTGGGATGCTGACTCGACCGATTCGCTATTGCATTTCAGACACAGTAACACACCAAAGCAAAAACTGCTTTTCGTGATTTATGAAGTAAAGATTACCAATTACTGCTGTGGTAATGATGTATGCTGTAGCAGGAACTTATTCACTGCGCAATTGCTTTAAATAAATTAAATTTTATTAAAAATTTAATTATAAAAAAAATAATTAAATTTTTGCTGAATAGGCGGTAATATAAGGGCAGCACTAAACGGACGACACGAAGATATGTTGTCGAACCGCGTGATCCTGCTTCGATCTTACCGGTACTAGATCAATGCTAGAAGGACCATTAATATGTACGAGCTGCTGTGCTGTACAATCTTAGAAGTTGATAAAAATGATAAAGACTGGAACTGATTATGTAATTTATTCCGATATTATTGATGGTGTGTACATTGCGCGACGGCGAATGATTGCGTACTGAATTGACGAGAATGAAAAATGAAACAATAAAGTAAAAATGCTGATGTGCAGAAATGTGCGGTTTGTAAAGACCGTACAGTTAAAATTTATGTTTTTATACTGTTTAAAATATTCAATATTTTCAATTATTTTGTTGATTTTAATATTTTACAGAGAAAAAAAACCGTGTGCAATTCACACGCCGTAAAAGTGAAACTTTCGAATGAAATGATATATAAAATACCTAGAAATATTTCACGGCGAATGATTTATTTAATATGATCATTTTCAACCACAAGTACGGCATAAAATATAACATAAAAGTTCAATTTTATGGAAAAAAAATGTTACAATCCTTATTTTAAGACTTAATTTTAGTGTAATAAAACAAAATAATATTTTCTTTCTGACAAAATTGCTTTTTAAAAGCGCCATCTTCTTCATTCTATAGGTAAAAATTTTATTGATTATTTTATTGGGGGATGAGTCACTCGCGTCCGTAGGCTTCGACCACCTAACCCTAGGCCCACCCTACACGTATCCCCCGGGTGGTGCTAAACGAGCAACAAAGCCGAAACTATAGACTCGGCTCCTCGCTGTATGGTAGCGGCGTAAAATCTACCACCCCCTAGTTCGCACCATGAGCCAACAACTAAAAGAAATGGAAAAATTTGGGATGTGCAAGCTGGATTTAGAAAGAGGTTGGGGTGTACGGATCAAGTCTTTTCCTTGCGCATGATTGCGGAGAAATTTTTGGCCAAAAACCAGAAAGTTTTTTGTGCGTTCATGGACTTGGAAAAGGCTTATGACAAAACACTGACCTCATTTGGGTTGAGCGCTGGTTTGATATAGACATTAAAATCTCTTTATAGGGACTCTAGTGCCTGTGTCAGGATCAACGGGGCCTACTCGGACTGTTTTGGCATTCAAAAAGGTGTTAGACAGGGCTGTGTAGCTTCTCCGTGGCTGTTTAACCTATTTATGGACAGTTGTTTGCAAACTTTGAAAGTTGAAGAATGTGGGTTCAGAATGGGTGATTTAACCGTCAAATGCCTTTTGTACGCCGATGATCAAGTCATATTTGCATCGTCACAACCTTTTGAGTTCGCGGTACGCACCTTGCCATCAGACTATTGTCGCTTAATATTCTAACTCATTTTTCCGCATGCTAAATCCTATACACATGTATATACGTTTGTCTCGTTTTAGTGTCACTTTTTCGTTTCATCCAGTTTATAATCATAACGATGCTAAAAAAGCTTTCACTTCAAAAAGTTACGATGTTGATAATTTGCAAGATTTAGGTGAATACATTTTTCATCAAAATATTTTACATGTACTCTAGCGATTGACTCAACTATATCGAAATTAATGTCGATATTTATCTTGAATGTTTATAATTAGTTGATAGACTCGCAGCCCACGCCTTGCCATGGCCTTGGAAACGAGATGGAATAATATCCATCTCCCTCGCACTTTTTCTTATCTTGCCATGAAAGAAATATTATTTTATTTTAAATGACGCTTCATTGTAATAAACGCTTGTAATTCATTTATTTATATTTGTTAATTCATAATATAATGTGTTTATCAATAATAATATGCTACGAAAAGAACTTACTCCAACCACGTATTCGACGCCAATCACGCATATTTTTTTATTCAAGTAGCTACCTGTTTACATTTTATTGGTAATATGTTAAAAAATAAACTCCCTGGATTCCCAGGAACTATCTGTGGTATTCCAGAACTAAAATAAATGATCACGAGCGGCGGTGCCCTCTCGCATCATTTCCACGCGAAACGTCAGTGCAATCGGACGTTGTCTACCAGCCCTCTCGATTAGTATAAATTCAGTGTTTTATTGGTGTTCCCCGAAAGTATATACAGGTGTACACACACTGTCCATGCCATGTATCTGTTTCTTGCGGAACTTTTTTAATTTTATGGGTCATCTCTTCAAAGAGTATTGGGATTTTAAACATTTTGTATTAAAATCTAATAAAAAGCAGGCAAATTCAGCTTATTACTGCTAACATGTTTTTAAAATAAATATATAAAATAGTGGTTCATCAATTTTGTTGAATCTTTTTACGTTCCCTTGGCACTTCCGATTAGCGTATTGTTGTACTGTATTTTTAACCGAATTCAAAAAGGAGGAGATTTTCAATTTTAGTGTATGTTTTTTGTATCTATGTTACGCGATATCTTTGCAGATTGTGTACCAATTTTGATGACTCTTTTTTATTAAATACGAGTAGGTAATACTTCACGTTTGGTCCTCTATCGAATTGGAGAAAAAAATTCATCCTTGTGTTGGCGACTGTACGTCATATTTACAGTTGCGAATCAGCATTTTTAACGAGCCACCGCTAGGCGAGTCAGTCGCTCCCCGTCACGCGCCCTCCTCTGTAGTTAGTTCGGTACCTAGTTAGTTCAGTAGTTAGGTCAATAGTTTAGACTTTACGTAGCTGTAGTAATTTAGTTCAACCAAGGGAATTATTGTGGAAATGATAATACATTCTTATATATTATAAACAATTGAATTTCATTTGTGCACCACAACTTCTGAACTATCATAAATGAAAATCATAGGACACGACAGTGAGTGGAGGTAAGAATAATATGAATTTAACTAAAACCAACCAAAAATCATAAAACCCCTAAGGATAGCAAATAAATAACTTATCTTTTAGCAATTTTAAGTAAAAAACGTCCTGCCTAAATTATATATCGTTCTCACAAAACGAAATAAAATTAACTCTTCAACAATTATTCTCACTCTTCTATCTCACTGTAAAAATTTAGGTGAATACTTTTTCGATATCGACCGCGTAAAGTTTTACGTCTCGAATGATCGAAATTGCCGCTTCAACCAATCACGTGCGTTAACGTTCTCACTGACGAATGAGAGTCAATGCTCGATGGTGATTCCGATTATTGCTACTAGTTGCCGCTGATTTTATTCTATACAAATCGTAGTTAACGTTCTCGATATCGAATGCGTAAAAACAAAATCTCTGAAAATGAATTTTTTTATATTTGATAAATAGCCTTTTTCGCTGTCCTTACCTGACGGCTCCGTGGCGCAGTGGCTTAGCAATCAGTTGTTGCGCTGGGGGCCGCGGGTTCGAATCCCGCACGGAACAAGTAATTGTATGGCCTACAAATAATTGTTCCGGGTCTGGATGTTTGTTCTTGTGCAATTTATGTTTGTAAACTGCCTCCACGACACAGGAGAAAATCCTAGTGTGGGGGTAACGTTTTTTAAAATAAGAACTAAGAACTTAAGTGGGCCCCTTCTCAATTTTAGCCCCGTGCCCCATAAAGTTCAAATCCGCCCCTGAGTAGACTATTGAAATTTTCACAGAATGTATATTTCTGTTGCTGCTATAACAACGAATAATAAAAATTAAAATGAAAAGGGGCTCCCCTACTTGAAACGTGTATCACAATGGTACGGAATCCTTCATGCGCGAGTCCAATTCGCACTTGGTCGCTTAGTACTTTTTGTTAAAAGTTATAATTACTATTGAAGAATATGAAACATTTTCTGCCCACGTACAAACACATTAAATCTACAATAGAAAATCTTTTACCACTAAGATCTCAGAAGAAATGAAGATATGGCTTAAAAGGCAAGCATCCAAGCCAAAAATCTTAATTAATAAAAATAAAAATAATAAAAGCAAAAGAAATAGTTTTGTCTGTGGTTACAACATACGTCTTGTAGAAGGGAATACTTATTTTTAGTTTTTAATTTTATTTACTAAAATTTCTTTGTATATGTCACTTTGTTTAGACAATGCTGATTCAAGATGATGTCTGATCAGTTTAGAAAAGTAGAACCGTATTCACCGAAATCCTCACCTCGAGGAGGGAGGTCACCAGTTGTTTCACGTCAGGATTCTTCGGGAACCCTAAAAACTACTATTTCACTCGGCAAGAACCCTGCAATAGTGCATAGTGGCCCTTTCTATTTGATGAAAGAACCTCCAGGTAGTATACCTCATATATTAAATTTTAATTTGTAAAGGAATAAATGTCCATTTTATGGTTTGTTTTGATTTACAGGAGAATGTGAACTAACAGGTGCCACAAATTTAATGGCGTATTATGGTCTAGAACACTCGTATAGTAAATTTAACGGCAAAAAATTGAAGGAGTCACTGTCCTCATTCTTACCCAACTTGCCTGGTATAGTTGATGGCCCTGGTCAGGAGGACAACAGCACCTTAGGATCAGTTATAGCCAAAAGACCTATTGGCGGTAAAGAATTGCTGCCACTAACTAGTGCACAGTTAGCAGGTTTTAGACTTCACCCTGGTCCATTACCAGAGCAATACCGTTATGTAAGCGCAACACCACCCAAGAGGCATAAGAGCAAACACAAGAAACACAAACACAAAGATGGTGCACCTCCTGGCCAAGACACACCTTTACAAGGTACGCCTTTACTTTTTTTGGTCATTTCAAAATTTATTAAAGAACAGCCCTTTTGTTTCCATATATAACTAAATTCAGTAAATTGTTCAGACTTACAAACCTTATGTAATATTTGAATGAAAATTTTGAAATGTTATAAAATAATAACTCAAAACAAGTAATATAATTTATATCTATCTGGCTTACCTTATTTTCTTAACAGTGAATTAATCCTGTTCCAGTTTTGAGCAATGAATTCCACAAATATAATAATAAATGTTGTAACATGAAGAGATTGAAATTAAATTTAACATATTTACTCTTTTTTTATTTTTATAGAATAGGGTGACAAATGAGCACATAGTCCACCTGATGGTTAAGTGGATGAAGTGGCCCATAGACATCTCTACATTTATCTTCGATTAAGAATCAAAATACAAATGTGTTGTCATCCCTAAAACTACTCATCATTATTAGTACATTACACAAATATTTAAAAATAAATAAATATAAAAACATTAATAAAAGCAATTTCACAGATTTTAGTGCAAATTAATTTCACTTATTTTTATTTTTAACTGCATGAGAGGCAGGGATTGAAGGGGCTTGACATCTTGATATCCTTAAATTTTTAGTTATTGTTGATGATGCAGTCTATGCGGAATGAGCATACTGTGTCTTGAAGTGTTGTAGTAGTATGCTTGGGTTTGATCTAATTTTATTAATTAGAGGATCCCAAGCAGGTAGTAGCACTCAACTGTGTTTTCATTTGTAATTACAGTGTACTCACAGATTACCTTAGGTATGAATTGATCATTGTTCCTGAGGATTTATGGTCTATCAAATCTGAAATAATGGCAGGGCCTGTCTTAGATATGATAGAGTGCAGAATCATAGAGTAAAAAATATTCTACTAATAAAAAAAAACTAAAACTAGAAACTTAATTATAATATAGTCCTACTCCCCACGGTATCATGTCAAGAAAGCTGGCTGTGTTTCCCTGTTGAATGGCTATACTTATTACTTATTTAAACTTAGTTATTTATATGATATTAAAACAATACTTTTGATATGTTCATACAGATTCTTCAAATCCGGACACATATGAAAAGAAACATAAAAAGCAAAAGCGACATGATGATGACAAGGAACGTAAGAAAAGAAAAAAGGAGAAGAAGAGGAAAAAACAAAAGCACAGTCCAGAACATGGAGGCCTCACACCGAGTCAGCACCCTGTTTCATAATAATTGTAATCTAATAGGTAATAAGCTATGGATAAACTGAGATGCATCACACTAGGAGAACTTGATTGAATAATATAATGAAGCTGTTGGATGGAAATATGCACTTTTTCTTTGATTTCCAATTAACTTTAAGTTAATCATAGTTAATAACTTGTAAAATCTCCTATTTAGTGTTTGTAAGGAAACTAAAACATTACACAGTTGAAAGTGTATAATATAGTAATAGTGTTATCTGTATCATTGATGTGGCTATTGGTGTTTTGTGTGACAATATCATCATGTCATAAATCATTCTACAGTGTTTTATATTTATTTTTCTAGTAATTTTATAGATTATTTAATAAAGGCTTTAAGCTACAAAATGTAGATATTTCATATATCACTTATAATGTATCAGAAAGGTCAACAAGAAAGTTCTTATAATGCAAACTTATGCAACTGAAAATTTTTGGCCTGAAGTGTGAGACTTTCAAAAGCCTTTCAAAACACTGCCCTAATGATTTCTCATGTTAATTATTATATTACATCAAAAATTAACAACTAATGTCCAAAGTAGATATGGTTAACTATGATATCATCAGAATGTTAAACATCTTGAATCAACCCATGACCATGGGTACAGTAAAGCACTTAAAACCTCGGCAGCACAGATAAATATCTCTCACTGTATATTAACTTCTCGTTTTTATCTAAACTCGTAAAATTTAGGAGTATATTCTTTTGATATGTATGAGGTTATGCTAACGGCATAAAATATTGATATTGCTATTTTTTTAAAAGTAGATCAAAAGCGGTTAAAATTCACCAATACACCACCAGTATAAAATAATGGTATATTGTATAACCTTTATATAACCTAAATTATATTGGTAACCAAAAATATCTGTTTATGTAACCAAAAGTATTTGTTGGTTTGACAATGACAATTAAGAAATTCTAACAAATTAATTGAAAATTAAGGAAATTAAAACCACAAGAAAATTGATAATTAGGTAGCAAAAAAAATAACGCTACCGTTATTTTTCGATACCGAAAAATTTTGTATTGTTATTTTAAGATATCGCAATAAAAAATTTAACGTCATACCTTTAACCGTTATAACACATAATTTTTTGGTCATGCAAGCCCCGGATATAGGTAGTTAGGTAGTATTAAGATAAGGATATAGCAAATGATTAATATTTATTTCCCATTTAAGTATACTTTCCATATGAAGTAATATAAACACCCATACTGGTCTGAGACTTACAGGTACCATGTTTGTGTGAGACTTATAACAAAATAGAATGTGCCAACTGTGTTACTCACCTGTTAAATCTTAAAAGGTGTCTAATGGAACATTGGGTTTGTTATTGTGTAGGCGATCTATCTATTTTTGTGATGTGATATCTATAAAATTGGTCCAAGTAGCTCTGTGCTCTTTGGACTCTGCCTACCCTTTCGTGGATTACAGGCGTGAAGCTATGTAGAAAACATTAGAAAGATATTTTAAAATCATTGAGGTTTCATTAACCTCAGCTTCTAGTGAGTTTAGTTTTTACAATATTAAACTTAAAATGGCTAAAACTTTAAACGCAATACATGTAATGATATAAAAAAAAGCTCATACTGAATATTTTGTTAAAAATACCCTACGTTGTAAAATTTAAACATTATAAAAAATTTGAAATAAACTGCGCAGTGCTACTCATAACTATGTATGTCCCAACACACAGTTCTCATTTTGTTTTAAATACAATGATCACCATTTTAAGTATAATCTAGAGACAGGTATCACTTCTTTTAAGAAATTCCTTAACTAATCGCTGACCACATAGCATGCCTCTGTATTATGGATCCCGTATTTAAGTCTCAATTCTAGCCAACATTTAGGTAATAGATAAATTACATTACATCGTTTTCCCAGAATGAGGTTAATTGTTGATGATTAAATTCCCTTTTCTGAATTTGCTGAACCATCTCTGACATGTATGTTCAGATCCACTGTTAGGTCTAAAAAACAACACTATAGAGAATTAAGTAAACTATACAATACTTTAGTTGCTCTGGAGTAAATTACAAATTATTACACAACACCTATCTATACCCCGTACCCTAGAAAATATGAATCAATGCAATTCGAAATTGTTAATCATAAAGAAATATAGATTTCTGTGTACTACAAAAATGGATAGTACTTTCCTGTAGATCCAATAGTAATTAAATTAAAAATAAACTTAAAACTATAATTACCGATTTATTTACTTATTTATTGTAAAAAATTTAAACATAGAGGCTAAGAATTTTTTGGTAAGAATATGTTTTCATTCTATTGAAATCGAATTTTATATATCTTTTTCTGCTCAAATTAGGGCTATTCAACAGTTTTATTGTATTTTTATAAATCGTCTCCCCGTAGTAATTGCATCTCAACAATTGGGCCCAAAGAGATTGATATTTTGTCTATTTATTTCTTGGTCTCTATACTTTCTTAAACAACTTGGTGAAAGTTTAAGTATATAATATGTTATGTTTCCCTCTAATTGTTAACATCAAAAATAATTACTATTATTTTGTTAACTGTAGCTGTGCTAGTTAGTTATGTACGATTAGCTTGCAATACAAAACAATGTAATAAAGTATTACAGCTTTGGGCCCTTAAGAAATTTTTTGACAAATTTTGTACCATTTCAAAAACTTTCTTTGGGCTTTAAGTAATATTGTAGTTTTAAGTGTTAGATAATATTATACAGTAATAGATATAAATTAGTTGTTTTTACCTAATGAAGTAGAAGAAGGGTGGAAAACGAGTAGTATGCAGTCTGTTGAGCCTAAAATATACACAACCTAATATTATACTTGGGTCTTGTATTTTATAGTTGCAGCTTAGATTATAGCATTAAACCAAAGTCAGTGGTCAAATTTTGGATGAGGATATTTCGATAACTTTTAAAAATTATCATTCCTCCAGTTTCAGAAAAAAGTACATTTGATTAAACATTGTAAACTACTTGCGTTTGACGTAATTATACATATAAAATAACTGTAATTTGTTACACACGCTCAAGACTGTCTCATTGTAAATAAAATATTGATCAGTTTGCGACTCAATATCATTTCTAGAATGATTTGTTCATCAAATTAATAAATTCCACGTTGTTTTCTATTTACTAAACTAACTCGGAAAACTGTAAATAAAGAGTAATGTGTACTGTTATTTTATTATTTTCCTATTTCCCATTTTATAACCCCCGACCAAAAAGAGGGGTGTTATGTTTAACGTATCTGCGTATCTGTCTATCTGTCTGTGGTATCGTAGCTCCCAAAGGGATGAAACAATTTAGATTTACTTTTTTTTTGTTTGAAATGTGACTTGATCGAGTGTTCTTAGCTATAAAATCTTCAAATGGCTAAAAAATATAAAATCTTTTTAGCCATTTGAAGATCACCAGCTCGTTTTGTTACGGGGGCTTTTAAAATTTAAGTAATAAATAGAGAGTAATATAAATAATACCCTTGAGGAAGACTTGTGAAGGGCTGTAATGATGATTGTTAATGACGATGAATAAAAAATTAAAACGAAATATATTACTCCTTTTATATAAAAATCAATGGAAAGCACCGTTAGTGTCACAATAGCTCGACTGATATTGATAATTTTTTTTGTGTGTATTTGAGTATATCTCCCTGGATGGTTTAAAAACTAAGTTGGACCCGGTAGGTGGCGCTGTTGTCGAGATCCATATTTGAAATAAATAAGGAGGCATCCTAGATTTCGTTTTAACAACTCTACTCTCGAAGTATAAATCTTCATCAGATGAACCAGTTGAGCCGATGGATGCGTATCACCTAGAAATACTACCAACGTTACCGGTGCTGTAATCAATAGCCTATCGCCTCTAGTACGAGACCAGAATTTAAATTGTGAATGAAATTTTTGCAAGGCTGATTTTTATGGCTTATTTGATCAGCAAAATATTAATGTAGATGTAGATATACTTTACTGTAAGCTAAATGATGCTATTAATAATCATGTCCCTCTGAAAAGGAGGACATCCAATCGCAAATATGTGTATCCAAAATGTTATTCTAAAGAAATAATATAACTTAGTACTTCATTAAGCAAAAAAAATTTCAACTTTAAAATGTTTAAAATATACGGGTTAAAGTTTAATAGAGGGTTATTTAAATACTACAGGACTAAAGTGAAGGAAGGCTTTTAAGAATTATATAAGTACGGTAGAAAGTAATATTACTTGTGATCCCTCAAGTTTTTGGAAATATGTTAAAGATAAACGTAATAATTAAAAATTTTGAACTGCCGACTTCAATATAAGTTATTACGAATAACTCAAAAACTATTGGTCTAACCTTGATCAAATTCATATGGGACCACACGAGAAGTACCAGCTTTCAAATGAAAAAAGAATCATCGAAATCGGTTCACCCAGTAAAAAGTTATGAGGTAACACACATAAAAAAACAGTCGAATTGAGTACCGTCTCCTTTTTGGATGTCGGCAGAAAATAGGCAACAATGTAAGGCATTTATTTACGATAATAGCGTAGTAACAGGACAGGAGGCCGTCGACGCGTTAGCGCTTTGCAACAGTTCCGTTTTTCATAAAAATACTCTCTTAGATCCAAAGGTCGCTGAACAGGATGCTATTAACTCGGACTTGTAGCAAGCATCAGTATTGAGTATATTAAAGTGTGGGAATTTAGGCGGGCAGTACGACGTCTTAAAACAACATCCGCATATGGCCCCGATAACTTACCGGCATTTTTGGTCAGAGATTGTATGTCAGTTCTAGAGCAACCTCTCTTGTATGTATATGACGGCATGTGCACCATTGCACGTGCAGCGGCGTCAGTGTAGCTAGACAGAATTCTTGTAAACAACACGTGCACAGCACACCTGCGCCATTGCACCTGCGGTGGCGCCCTTTTTGCTTGTATAAAACGGACGGAGTGGCCACCGCTAAGGCAAATTCCGCTTGTGCCACCGCCCCCGAGCGGTCG